TATATTTGAATACTGTAATACCGTCTTTTTTTTTATTTTTGCCCCACACCACGATTCTATCTCTTTTTTAAACTACATAATTTTCTCCTAATATTACATATCTAACTTTTTTCTGTTCTTTGTATAATTCTAGACGTTTTGTTAAAATTAGCTCTTTTACAGATTGCCTGCATTTTGTTTCATGTATTAGTAGTTCACTTCTTACATAAGTTTGAATAATTTTGATTAGAAATTCTTAGTTTTCTCATTTCTGACTGCATGCCCATTTTCCTTATTTTTATAGCATTTATACAATTTGTATATGATAAAATAGTAACACTGACAAAAAATTCTGTTTCAATCTTTGAAGTTTATTACTGGCTTAAAACCAATATTTTTCTGTTGTATAGATTACAACGTTCTGTTTTCTCACAATATTAGTCTGACTCTCCATTTTATATACTTTATATGCAAGTCATTATTCAACCTTTTATGCAGTTAAAACTGTTATTTTTTCCATCTTTGACTTCAGAAACATTGATGTGCACATACTTGAAACTTCATTCAGTGGAGATAACTGCTTACAAATTAAGGAACACTAGAACATGCATAACAATGATATGTATTTATATATACATTTACTATACGCACATATTTGTTAGTTACATAGTTATTTCTAAGTATCTGAATTTATTACTTCAATCACTTAAAAGGACACTAGCCAAATTAATATTCTTATAATTGAGTAGACGAACTGGAGGTTTAAATGAAACCTTAAAAATGACAAGTTTTTACACACACTGAAAACATTTATTTAGCAAAAAACATACATCAAAATCACATTATTGTAAGTAAATAAATCCACTTTTTGTATATTTTTGACTGTGAGAGTATAAGGATATGCTTGCAAGGACATGGTTGTAGCGACTTGAAATTTAAATAGATATTTTTATGTATCTGGTCAAATAAGCATTTCCATGTTTCCAAGTGTCTCTTTTCAATTCACAATTTTAGAATCAGTCTTCAAAGGTTGTGACAATAATGAATTCAACAGACATTATTGGAAACATCGAATGATTTTGGATCATACACAGCACAAATAGACTTCTCCATCACAGGAGCGAGAAAATGTTTTTAAGTCTGTCAATACACAAGAAGTGGTGAGGAATATGAGGACAATTTTTCTCCTCTAGCACGAATCAGTTGACAGCCTGCTATAGGTGTTTATCTAACCAAAGTCTTGGTTCTCTAAGTTAAAATGTCAACTGAGTGCTTGCTTGTGTTCCAGTATCTTCTGTGTAGAAGGTTAATGTTTATTACCTCTCACTAAGTGTTGATGCAGGTATCCCTTTGACTGAAGTCATCTAATTGGCTAAGGATGACAACCAATAAGAGCATCACATTTATTCTGGTCTTTCATCTTTATTACCTAAGCTAATGTTGCTCTTCAATTGGCAAGTGAAAACATGAGGTAACAATGCACAACAGAAATTAGATGCAGTGCAGGTAGAGATAGATTACATTCCTTGTCAGAGCTATGCCAACTTTCATCTTAAAATACACTAAAAGAACTGGATCCTTAGACATTGAGAATTTCTGTGGGTTTTCAAGTTTCAGTGGCCTCCTTCTTCCATACTTGAACTTCTGTTTGTCTAGAGAGGTGAACGACAGTTAATAATTAGCAGAGACCCATGAATGCTTCAATAAAGCATTCACAACTTATGTTATAGATATCTTTCCTCCAGTATGTCATTTGATCCTTTAAAGTCACCATTATTAAATCAAACCCAGTTAGATTATGAAGCACCTGACTTTAAAATTAGTGGTTGATATGTTTTTCACTGAAACAATTAACTGATTCATTCAATAAGCAGCTACAAATACCAAATAAATTGACTAATCTGTCAAATAAGCATTGTCTGTGTTAACCAATCACCCATTTTCATCTCAGTTTCTCAGGGGAGTCTCAGCACTGTTTTATATTCCAGCCTCTCTTCAAAGAATGTTTATGACATACGTAAGTTTACTGACTAGTAGCTAGCCAGAAAATGGCTGTCTAAATTTGGACTTTACATAAAACTTTTCAGCAAGGAAGTTTCAATAGTGGGTCATTTTGAGCAAGAAGTAGTTTCACTAAAGGTCATTTCAGTTGTCAAATGAAGACAGTAAGTGCTGGCATTGTTGTCAGCCTACATTGGTTAACCCGATAAGACACTCATCTAAGATTTTACTATCACCTGACAAATCTGTGATCCAACAGGTTTCAGGAGTCCCAAGGTCACAGTAAAGTGACAAAAGTAGGAGGACAGAGGAAAGACTAAGTTTGGATCTCCAAATTAAGGAATGGAAAAGGCAAGTGAAACACAGATCAAGATAGATTTAAGTGATTAGGAGAGCAGCTGACTAGCTAACCAGGCTCAGATGTGGTCAATTGACCAGTTATCTTAAGCAGAGATGATTCACAATTCTGCTGCTTATGAGAGAACTGGTGAGTGTGTGTGTGTGTGTGTGTGTGTGCGCGCGCGCATGTGTGTGTAAATGATCTTGGCCTTTTTAAGAACATTTTTATCTTGGCTTTTACTCAGGCAGTCCAGCATAAGTCTATTTTCTGAGAGAAAACTGTTGTGCTACTTAGCTTTATAATCTTATTGAGGCTTTTTTGGTTTATTTTTGTTTGTTTTATTGCTTTGTTCTCGTTACATGTGAAAAAATGTTTAGTGTCTTGTTAAAGGCAGAGAGAAATCCTGTGACTTTAGAGAATTTATTGGGGAGGGGAGGTTTATAACAGATGCACGTGACAATAGTAATGCAACTTAAGCACACCCTGTATGGCAGGTGCACACTATTACAATAACAAGTTAAGAAACGAAGGTTGCCACATGGAGGTTGCAGAGGGGAAGGGATATTAACTGCACGCTTTTCACAAGTTGTAGTGGTTCGCCAGTCTGCTGCCACTGGATATATGTGTGTGTGTATATATATATATTTGCTACCTTTGGGTCTCTTATTTGGTCTCTTGAACCTGGAGCCACCCCTGTTGAAGTTAATAGGAGTCTAGCACGAAGGGAATAAAAGTTACAGTGCATGCATTATAGGATTGATATTTTAAGCCTGTGAGGGAAGGTCCCAAACCATATTCATTGGAGGACTCTTCTATATGAGAGAAACACAAGTTCCTGGTATCCCTGCCCATGCTGGAAACAAATAAACAAACAAGGCCACTAAATAACCTGCTTCAAAACTTTAGACTTAGTTACTGGTATTAGTTGTAATATATGCTCTTGCTTTTGTCCTACCTTTATATTGCTCAGCTTCAGTTTCTTATAGACTGGTCAAATGATATTTATGAAATTTTCTGACTAGCTACTCATAATCTGAATTCCCTTCATAGGTTAAAAAAAACCAAATTATTTTTGTTGCATTTCATGGAATGTTTCTAAAGAAGTCTTCTGTGTGAGGATTCCATGTGTTTGTTTTACTTCTTCAGAAAATTGGTATTGAATGATCACTAAGTTCTAGGCTTTTTCTCAGATGCTAGGGATAAAACAAATAATCAGGAAAAATAAAATACACTATGTTTGGTAAATAAGAAAGAAATAGAACCATGAAGGTGTATAGAAAGTGTAGGGGCTTAAAATTTTTAGAAGATAAAGTGCTAAGAGACTTCTTGCCAGTAAGATGACATCTGCAAAATAATCTAACAGGTGAGCAAGTAAGCCATTCTGGTAATTGAGAAATACTGATTCCAGGAAGAGGGAAGGCCCTCTGAGGTGGCAGCTTGCCTGGTTTGTGAAAGGAACAATAAGAAGTGCAGTGTCTGGAGGGAGATGAACAAGAATAAGAGTAGTAAGGAGATGAAGGAAATGAGGTTAAACAGCTAATGAATACACAGATCAGGTAGAGTTTTATAGATCATTATAAGGGCTTTGATTTTTGCTCTGGTTGGAATAGGAGCCCTTTGAGGGATTGAGTGAAGAACTAACTTTATCTACCTTAGCATTTTAATTGTATAACTCTGGCTGTTGTGTTGGAATATGGTAAAGATGAGGAGGTCATAGATGGAAAAAGGGAAATTAAGCAGAAAAATTTGAAATAATCTAGGTAAAAGGTGATGGTAGGACAGTAGCAGTAGTTACTGAGAAGTGGTAAGGTATCTGAAGGGATTTATTGATGCATCAGATGCAGAGGAATTAAATATTTCCATATATTTCCTATTTCTTAATTAGCAGGAAAGCTGCTATTAATATGATTGTATAGCTAAACTCTACCAATACTAATTTTCTATCAGATTTTACTGTTACCTGTAAATATGCTATTGAAAGTCTGGGAAATTCATCTATGTTCATCAAAACCTCAGAGTCCTAATATCAGCAAAACTGCATTGTTCAAAAAAGTTGTATTGAAGAAGTTCATTTTACACTTAGAACCTTCTTTTCCCGAGTATAGAAAATGGATGTGGAAGGAACTGGCTCAGTAATCACAATCTAGTCATTAAAAGAATGTGTCATTGTTTGGCTCTTGGAGTTGGTCAAGGAGCCATTAAGGCCAAAATCAAAGGTTCACTCTTTGTATAAACTTATGAGCTTTGCATGTTCCGCTTCAGAGAATCTATTTCTGATCTCATACATTCAACAACAACAACAAAAAATTATCTTGCTTATAAGGGTAACCAGTAAAACTGTATGGAGAGGTCAATTTAAATCCATCATCATTTCAAGAAAAACAATTCACAGCTCTTCCTTTACTTGCTAGCGAGTAAGTAAATGACATGTCCTCACATTTAGACAACACATTATGACTAAGAAAATAAGGAATTCAAATGCTCTGCAGAATGTTTTCTTTCAGAGAAGTGCACTAAAATAGTGAAGTATACAGATAACTTATTAGAAAGTGTTTTTACAAGAAAATTTATGTTTTAAGAATGTATTAAAAGTGTAGAAAATAGCTTTCAATGGCTAATGCAAAACTGTAAAATAATCATGACTTTTACTGAATTTACTTATCTTTTTCCTTTATTCCAGAACCTACAGATAGGCCACCTATACTATTAATCAAAAATTTTGAAACAATTGAGGTTTTCCATCTTAATGGAAGTAAAATAGCAACCTTAAGCTCAGTCAATGGAAATGAAATTCATACTCTGGATTTTATTTATAATGAAGATATGATTTGTTGGATTGAATCAAGAGAGTCTTCAAATCAACTCAAATGTATCCAGATAACAAAAGCAGGAGGATTAACAGATGAATGGACAATCAATATTCTTCAATCCTTCCATAGTAAGTGTTTCAATTCAATATTATATGCCACCCTTTACTAATTTCATTTACAGACCAGTAGGCTGGATTCTCAAATTTCTAGCATAGCTCATGGCTGTTGGAAAACTGTATGTGCAAATACAAAGAAATTGAATTACTGTATTAACTACATGTTTTTCATATACAAACACACATGTTTCTCTATTTAGGAAAGTAGTAAATTGCAGAGTTAACTGTAATTCTTTCTTTAAGGCTTTTTACAGTGTCATCTAACTGGGGATTGTGATTTTTTTTTTCCACTGAGTGGTAATTCACAATGTGATAGTGAAGGTGGGATTTTAAAAAAAGGAACTGAGTCGATAATTATAAGGGCATTGGCTGTAATTAAAAATAAATTATTAGGTTTATGTTAATTGGGATTATCTACCTGTGTTAACTTTCTTTAAAGTAAATCAATATTTATACATCCTCTTCCAACAAAGTGACTTGTGCTTTGTGATTTACTTTGACTTTTCATGTCAGAAACTTGACAGGCTGCCCTTCTCTTCCTTCATTATTACCATAAACTGAAATCTCATTGTCTCTCTCTCTCTCTCTCTCTCTCTGTCTCTCTCTCTCTCACACACACACACACACACACACACACACACACACACACAGATGCACACATATTCTCTCTCTCCTGTCTTTATGTATGCTTGGGGAAACCATAAGGATGAGAATTTTAACACATATCCATTTAATTTATGATTTACAGAAAGCACTTCTTACATATTCAGCTCAGATAAAAGTCTGTAGAAAAATGAAGAGAAGCCAGGCGTGGTGGCACATGCCTGTAATCCCAGCACTTTGGGAGGCTGAGGTGGGTGGATCACCTGAGATCAGGAGTTTGAGACCAGCCTGTACAACATGGTGAAACCTCATCTCTACTAAAAATACAAAATTAGCTGGGCATATTGGTGCATGCCTGTAATTCCAGATATTTGCGAGGGTGAGGCAAGAGAATCACATGAATCTAGAAGGTGGAGGTTGCAGTGAGCTGAGATTGCACTCACTGGGCCACAAGAGCAAAACGTCATCTAAAAAACAAACAACAGCAAAAAAAGAAATGAAGAAAAATGTGTACAATCAAGTTAAGCAGGAAAAAAAAAATACTGCGATAGAATAAATGTAATTTTCAAATGTAGAATATTTGATCTTGTTTAAATAATTAAAGCTTTTCATATTCAGTTAAATGGACTGGTTATTAATCCTTACATGAAGAAATAGTATTATATATTGTCTGATCATTGTATTAGATTAAATGAATCAATGGCAAATTGTGAAAAATAGGACATGCAGGTATAATTGTGTATATTTAGATGAACAAAGTGTTTGACAAATATTTTCTGACACTTTGAAGATCTTCTTAATATATATGAAACAATTGATAATGTTAGGTATTGTGAACCGGACCAAAAATTGTAATGAAAGCAGTGTATTTTTAAATAATTCTATAGAGAAATGATCTTTCATATTAAATAATAAATAACAAATTAAAGAGTGACACAAGGCACATAACCCTTATTATATAATTTATTACTTATGTGATTTATTATATAAGTAATAAGTAAAGATTATCTGCTTTGTAAGTATTTCAGACATTGGTTTAGGCAGCAGCTGGAAGCTGAACACAAGGCCCCAGTCCTTGCTACATCAGCCATTACCTTAACTAATCCAAATGTATTTGTCCCCAGTAAATGGAATACTAAATAGTCAAATAGCTAAAATATTCACTAAGTTGCCTGGTAGAATCATTTTCTGAGCTTACTTAAGAACTTTTTCTCTATACTTAATATGCCCTAATAATGGTAGTCATCTCTTCTTTAATATATGTTTTAAAAACCACTGTTTTTTTAAAATCTAAGGAAGATCAAGCATTTGCATATTGAATATTTGCAGAAAATAAGTATAATTTAGATTACATTTGATTTGTCAAGCAATTTGGCAAACCAGAAAAAATATATTTTGTTATTCTTGTTGTTAGGGAATTCACTGAAATGCTGAATAGAATATTCATTTTGAATAATAAAAATAAGTTCACTGGAAATATTTTAATTAGAGTAATTATTTGTGTGAAGTTAGGTTTAAGCATCCAAATATATAGTCATGTTACAAAAAAGTAATTAAATATGTGGAAGTAATTCAATGATGGGAGTGGTGCAGGGGTGTGAGCAGGCCTGGGCTCCTCTGTCATTGCTTGTAAGCCAAGTATTTTATCAACATGTCACAGAAGAGCTGCCACTGAATACAATGGGCTCTGTGTTCATCATGACAATTTGTGAGGTGATAATGAAGCTTGAATATTCTTTGCATGAAAAATTACATAAAATCTTTGTCATACCATATAAGCAAAAATAATGAACTGATAGAAATCAGCCTGAATACCTGTCACTATCCACTAATCCAGAGATTCTCTTTAGTTCCTCCCACCCCCATTATATTTAGGTGCTTTTCTCTTAATTTACCTGAAGAGAACATGCTTTTTTGAGAAAATATAAACATTTTGTTTTTCAAAGGATTACTGTGAGAAGAAAATCAATAATTGCTGGTCAAACTGACTCTCATTTAACACTTGCATAATAATATAGTAGTAATTATTTTATTGCAATATTTTTAAAAATTACACATCTTATCTCATTGGATACTCACTGCGTCTCTGTGGAGTAAGTAGGAGACATATGCCCTGACTGTTTTATAGTAGAAGGCATTTTTACTCAAAGTTTAGATATATTAGGCAAAGCTGGATGGCTAACAAGAATGCAGAAGTGGGACATCTAAGCCCTGTTTTTTTCTTTTACACTAGAAAATCAAGTCTACCTTAAACTATATATTTTAACTTTATTGAATATACTGAAAGACTGCAACAAGAAATATTATTCTTTTGTTTTTATAGGAAAATTGAGACTCTGAGCAGTTAGATAATTGTACACAGTATAATTAGGTAGGTTTGAATTTAGGTCAGACTTTATAGTTCTTTCTAAATACCACACTGCCCTTAGGTCTCAACTTTCTCATTTTAGCAAAGCAAGAATGATGAGGTCTACAAATATTAGTAATGTTGGCTTACAAAGACAATGATTCTGATGTGACCTCCTTAAAAGTCCTACATTTAACATTTTACATCATTCCTAAGCAATTTTGGGAAAGGATCAAAATGAATGATAATAATATGCTCAATAAATTGTATTAGTGAACCTCGAAGGAAATGATGGAAATTAAATTTCTTATTGAATTCTTTTTTTATAAAGATAACTGATATTTATTATTTAGCATTTGAGCCTGAAAGTTACAGACTTTGGAGATAATTTTGGAATTAAATGTTTTCTAAGCAAATTTTTTTTAAAGTATTCACACACAACACATTTGTAGCTGATTGTTTTCCAAAATTTTTTTTGGACAGTACTGTGGTAGGGACACAGATACCCAAAATAACAAAAATTATGGGATTTACAAAAGTAGTGAATTCCATCTGTTTCATTAGGACAAAGTGCATAGAGACTACTAAGATAAGAATATTTTCTGAGTTAACCTCTTATTAAGAAACATGATTCAGAACCATATTGTCATCTCCCAGCTGGACAGTAAACACTTTTATTCTGTTTTCATGGATGAATTCTTCAATACTCTTAAAATTTCAACGATCACTTTTAAGATTCTAACATGGATTTAACCAGCTTTTCTTGAGCCACTAATGGGCTCAACTCCAAACCAGTAGAGTATACCAAGCTAAATATAGATAACTGCTTATTCTTCATGGACTTAGCTTCTGAATTAACCCGATTCACAGACTTTTATCTTTTTTGTTAGCTTGTTTTAATGTCAACCTTAAATTACCTTCTACTTGAACCTCTAACCAGAGCTACTCAATTAAGTCTTTATTGAATAATTTTTTAATTCTGACAATTTAAAAAAAATCTTTTGTTTTTAATTTTATTTCAAGTTTTGGGATACATGTGCAGGATATGTGGGTTTGTTACATAGGAAAATGTGTACCACGGTGGTTGGCTGTACCAATCAACCCATCATCTAACTATTAAGCACAACATTCATTAACTATTTCTCCTGATGTTCTCCCTCCACACCCCCCCCATGACAGTCCCCCAGTGTGTGTTGTTCCCCTCCCTATGTTCATGTATTCTCATAATTCAGCTCCCAATTGAAAGTGAGAACATGTGGTGTTTGGTTTTCTATTCCCCTGTTAGTTTGCTAAGGATAATGGCTTCCAGCTCCATCCATGTCCCTGCAAAGGACATTATCTCGGACCTTTTTATGGCTGCATAGTGTTATATGGTATATATGTACCGTTTTCTTTATCCAATCTATCATTGATGGGCGTTTGGGTTGATTCCATGTCTTTGCTATTGTGAATAGTGCTGCAATGAACCTATGCATGCCTGTGTCTTTACAGTAGAATGATTTGGGTATATACCCGGTAATGGGATTGCCAGATCAAATGGTATTTCTGGTTCTAGGTCTTTGAAGAGTAACTGCCCTGTCTTTCCTAACAGTTGAACTAATTTACATTCCTACTCACATGTAGAAGCATTCTTATCTCTTGGCAGCCTCGCCAGCATCTGTTGTTTTTTGACTTTTGATAATCACTATTCTGACTGGCATGATATGGTATCTCATCATGGTTTTTATTTGCATTTCTCTAATTAGTGACCTTGAGCTTTTTTCCATACGTTTGTTTGCCATATAAATGTTATCTTTTGAGGTGTCTGTTCATGTCCTTTGCCCACTTTTTAATGTGTGTGTGTGTGTGTGTGTGTGTGTGTGTGTATCAGTTTGTTTAAGTTCCTTGTAAATTCTGGATATTGAACCTTTGTCAGATAGATTGCAAGAATTTTCTTCCATTCTGTAGGAGTTCTATTTACTCTAATGATAGTTTCTTTTGCTGTGCAGAAGCTCTTTGGTTTAATTAGATCCTATGCCAATTTTTATTTTTGTTGCAATTGTTTTCTGCGATTTAGTCATGA